CATATGAGGCTCCTAAAAATACCATGGGTTGGGTCAGGCACACCTAAATCCTCAAACTAACATCATTACTCTTGAACACTTTAAAGAGGTCTTGTGCAGATTTGTCTAACGCAATACATAATTTGATTTCTTGATTACTGCTTCCATGAATGTTGACAGCGGATCCATGCAAAATGAAGTTTTTGACAACTTCAATTTTTCCTCCATTTATCATTTTATTTATTGATCAAGTGGTGAGGAATTTTGTTTTCTTGACATTGAGTTGCAACCCATACTGAAGGCTTGTAATCCTTGATTTTCATCAGTAAGTAGTTTAAGTCCTCTTGTTAATGAGTCTTCCTCCAATCCTGATGCTGCGTTCTTCTTCATATAATCCATCGTCTCATTATATGCTTAGCAAACGGATTGAATAATTATGATGAAAGAATACAACCCTGGTGAACACCTTTCCTGATTTTTAAACCATTCCGTGTATAAACAACAGTCTCTTGGTCTATGTACAGGTTCCTTAGGAACACAATTAAGTGTTCTGGAATACCCACTCTTCAAGATGTTATCCACAGCTTTTCATGATCGACACAGTCAAAACCCTTTGCATAGGTAATAAAACACAGGAAAACATCATTCTGGAATTTTTGGCTTTCAGCCAAGATCCATCTGATGTCAGCAATGATATCCCTCGTTGTATGTCCTTGTCTGAATCTGTCTTGAACCTCTGGTAGTTCCCTGTCAATGTACTACTGTAGCCTCTTTTGATTATCTTTAGCAAAATTTTATATGCAGGTGATATTAATAATATTATACAATGCTTTCTGCATTTCATTGGGTCACCTCTCTTTGTAATGGGCACAGGTATGGATCTCTTCTAATCAGTTGGTCAGGTAGCTGTCTTTCAAATTTATTGGCATAGATGAGTGAGTGCCTCCAGTGCTGTATCCATTTGTTAAAAGATTTCAATTTGTTCTCCACCAATTCCTAGAGCCTTCTTTGCCAATGCCTTCAGCATAGCTTGGACTTCTTCCTTCAGTAGCACTGGCTCTTGATCATATGCTACCTCTTAAAATGGTTGAACATTGACCATTTTATTTTGTTACAGTGACTATATAGTCCTTCCATTTTCTTTTGATGCTTTCTGCATCATTCAACCTTTTGCCTATAGTATCTTTCAATATTAAAAAAGAAAGCTTGAATTTTTTCTTCAATTCTTTCAGCTTGAGAAATTCTGGGTGTGTTCTTCCCCTAGAGTTTTCTAATTCCAGGCCTGTGCACACTTCATTATAATACCTGACTTTGTCTTCTTGTGCTGCCCTTAGAAATTTTCTGTTCGGATCTTTAACCTCCTCATTTTTTCCATTGTTTTAACATCTCTATGCTGGAGAGCAAGTTTCAGAGACTCTTCTGACATCCATTTTGGTCTTTTCTTTCTTTGTTGTCATCTTTCGTTTACTTTCTGTATAGTGTTCTTGATGTCATCCCACAACTCTTCTGGTCCTCAGTCATTAGTGTCTAATACTCGAATCTGCTCTTGAGATGATCTCTAAACTCAAGTGGGATATATTCAAGGTCATATTTTGGCTCTCATGGATTAGTTTTAATGCTCTTCAGCTTCAGTCTGAATTTGTATATGAGAACTTATGAGCACTCATGTGTTTTCCACAGTCTCTTTCCACAGATGTAATCAATTTGATATCTGTGTGTTCCATTCATGAGGTTCATTTGTATAGTGGGCTTTGATGTTGTTTAAAAAGGGTATTTGCAATGAATAAATCATTGGTCTTGCAAAATTTTATTAGGAGATCTCCAGCACTGTTTCTAGCATCAAGGCCATATTTTCCAACTACTGATGCTTCCTCTTTGTTTATAAATTTTGCATTCAATCACCACTAATGATCAATACAATTTAAATGCATGTTTGGTCCATTTTGGACTGAAGAAGCTGGTAGAATTCTTCAGCTTCATCATCATTGGCTTTGGTGACTGGTACATACATTTGAATAAGTGGTATTACTAGTGGTCTTCCTTGTAGTTGTATAGATATTATCCCATCAGAGATATATCCCAAAAGAGATCTTGAAATGGTATTTTTGATGTGATACCATTCCTCTTTAATTTGTCATTCCTGGCAGAGTAAACCATATAATGGTCAGACTCAAAATGGCCAATACCAGTCCATTTCAGTTCACTAATGCCTAGGATATCTATCTTTATCCGTTCCATTTCATTTTTTACAACTTCCAATTTTCCTAGATTCATACTTAGTGAATCCCATGTTCTGATTATTAAATGGATGTTTATAACTGCTTCTCTTCATTTTGAATTGTCTTGTCAGCAAATGAAAGTCCCAAAAGCTTTACTCCAGTTGCATCATCATGGTTATCTCTACTTTGAGGAATTAGCTCTTCCCCAGTCATATTTTAAGTGCCTTATAACCGGAAAGGTTTATCTGTAAATCTGAAGGAGAAAAGGAAAAATGATGGGAGACCTGACTCTGAAAGATCCTGAGGTCACAGATGACAATGGAAGATGAATTTGGAGGTCAAATTAAGTCCAGTCATCTGTTAGAAACTTGGTTAAAATGTAGTCCACATATTGAGAGTCAGAGGTAAAAATAAAGGCAAGGAGATGACTGGTGAAGTTATAAGACAAAATATACAACTCACAAGCAGAGGTTTAACATGTAATAAAAGACCAAGAAAACCAAATTATTTGCATTATCTTTAATAACATCCTGTTTTACACTTGTGATTCAAGGAAGTCTCATACGGGGAAATGAGGGTGTTTTTGTTTTTTGTTGCTCTTGTTGTTTTAATTTTTATGATTTTAGAATTCTGACTTTTATTTTTATGCTTTACAGTTATTTAAATTTTTAATCCAAATATACTAGATGGTAACAAAATACATGACAATTGTCTTAAACTTACAGAAAATGGTTAAGATGATACTGAACAGAGAGTTGCTGCATCTTATTACTAATTAAGTATTTGTTCAGATTTTTAAAATACGAATATACACCTAAAACCATTTGCTCCATTCTTTAGAGAATTATGTTGCTGTTGTTGTTAAGTGTTGTTGAGTTGGTTCCAACCCACAGAAATCCTGTATAGGGTTTCCAAGAAGCAGCTGGCGAGCTTGAACCACCAACCTTGCATTTCAAACAACTTTGCAGTCTGACACATTAGCCCGCAGCACCACACCAGGACTTCTTAGAGAGAGAAATATAGATAGTCCAAAATGAATAAACATTGTAAATTCAAAGAGGACTATGAATAGAAAATAATTCAACTAGCAGGAGCAGCAATATATCTTTGCTGTGTTAAAGATTTTTGTGATGAATTAAGAAAAACCTATGCCAAACCCAAAACAATGTATCTCTATCTGAATACCAATTCACAAGGCAGTTTATTTCTGAGATGAAGACAGAAGCCAGGTCTCTCAGAGAGTGTCATATGAGTCAAAGGAGGAGGAAAAGGATCAAGTCTGCCTGTGCAAACTCAGAATACGCTGACATCATCCATGTTTTAAAAAATATTAGTGAAGATAACAAGATACTAAGAACACTAGTTTTCATTTCATGAAAACACAGATATCAGCCATGGAAAATACCTATGAAGCTGTCTAGCTTAATCAAGTACCTAGGCAAAGCTGCCACTCAGACTGTTTTTCTAAAGAACCATGAAGACTTGAGTTGTTTTTTATTTGGTACTGACATCCTTAATTCTTCAGTCCTTTGTACATAGGTAGAAAGCATTGTAACACTAGGACCTTTAATGATTCCTTCCTTTTAGGTCACATCTTCTCATCAGTCAATTCTAAGCAATTATCAGTTATCTTCTCATGTTGTGGAGTTTATATGACCGCTGACCTTACAAACAATGGTATACTGTGAAACAGAGCATCAATCAGTTCAGAACACAGTTCTTCCAGAAGCTTGCTGACACCTAATTCAGTTTAAAATGAAAACATAAGCAAAAATGTGATCAAAGAAGCAAATTCATGCTTTAAAATTTAGAACTTTGCTAGCATTTATTTTATACTCACTTCTGAGTTACCCAATTTTTAAAATGGCAAAGGTTTTTAAAAAACAGAAAATTAGTTATTCTGACACCTTAAAGAAAGAAAAAAAAAAGACTACAGTAAACCTGTCAACACATACCTGATGTTGAAAAGGGCAAAGATCTCAGGCCAGAAAATCTATGGCACAAACTAAGAGCCACCTGCTATTAATGACGGCACTAAAATCATAAAATCTTAAAATGGGTTCATCAGTGATCATTGAGTCATTTCTTACTCCTGAAAACACCATATGTGTCAGAGTAGACCTGTGTTCCATAGGGTTTTCAATGGCTTATTTTCTGAAACAGATTGTTAGTTCTTTCCTTTAAGGCATCTCTGGTTGGTATCAAACCTCTAATCTTTCATTTAGCAGCCAAATACATTAATCGTTTACATCACCCAGAAATTCCAAAACCTGGTTAGACCAAAAAAACAAACCCACTGCCTTCAAGTTGATTCTAAGTCGCAGCAATCCGATACAGGGTTTCTGAGGCTGTAAATCTTTACAGGAGTAGAAAAATCTCATAGTTCTTCAACAGTGCAGCTGGTACGTTTGAGCTGCCAAACTTGAGGTTAGCAGTCCAGTGCTTACCTACAATACCACACCTAGTCACATCTTCTCATTGTAGAAATTTACCCTGTAACATTCTCAAGTGAGTTATCTGTATCACTGAAGGCACAAGGACTGTCTTACATAGAAGTGAATTCTTATCAAGTCAAACATTGTTTCCCAGTAACCTCAAATTTTGATTCTAATTCAATAATTCAACTAATATTTAGACAGTAACTACTTTATACTGTAGACATGTTTCCAAAAAGACAAAACACTTCATCAATTTATCCAGCTAGGAAGACAAACCCACAAGCAGGAATCAAAATAAAACACTAAATGCATTTCTTCTGCTGCTGTTCCCTGTTGTTTATACTCAAGGCTCAATCTTACTTACTTGAATCACTCCTCCCAAGAAGGAAACTGCTGCAGCCACACCAATCCTTTGCATCTCAAATTCAGATAAGCCCAGCACACTTGTGTTAGTACTCTGTGTGGTCAGGTTCTGACTGCTCTGAGGGACAAGTCGTTCCACTGCATTGGCAGATATCAAGGATGTTAAAGCAAAGGTACCTAAAAGAAGAAAGGAGGGTCTTCTGTTAGAAAAACAAAAACAAAGCCAAACTGAACATGAAATATTGGAATCCATTACTTAAGTTAAATCCATGTTGTCAAATCAAATAGATGCGTTAATAATACTCTCCACTGAAGCCCAGGTATGCCCTGGACTGCTAATCACAAGGTCAGAGGTTCAAACCCACCAACTGCTCCTCAAAAACCCTATACATTGTTGCCTATGAGTCAGAATCGATTCAGTGGTATTTAACATCAACTGCATCCCTACTCTAACACACTCTACCATGTAAACAATTACTTACCTACATAGACAAAATTTGATTCAACATACAGCCACATCCATCTCCTTGATATTTCCTCCTGGGAAATACACATTTTCCCACCTCTGTGCAGACTCAGAACCCTGGTGGAGCAGTGGGTTAAGTATAGGGCTTCTAACAAAAAAGCTGGCAGTTCAAACCTACCAGTAATTCCTCAGGAAAAAGCTGAAGCTGTGTGCTTAAGATTTACAGTCTCAGAAATCCTGTGGAACAATCCTATTCAGTCCTCTAGGGCCAGTCTGAGTCTGAATTGACTGCATGGCGGTGGGTTTGGTTTGGTTTCCTTTGTGTAGACCCACATAGAGAGAATGATTCAGATCACAGTCTGGATCTGAATCCAATTCATGCACTTATCAATGAAGCACAGTGGTTTAAGCATTTAACTTCTAACCAAAAGGTTAGCAGTGTGAGCCCACTGGTCACTCCACATGAGAAAGATGTAGCAGTATCCTATAACGATTACAGTGTTGAGGTCCCTAGGGGGCATTTCTACTCTGTCCTACCGGGTCACTAAGTGTCAGAATCAATTCAATGGCAATGGCCTGGTAACCTAAAGTGCTAATTATAATCTGTGTCTAAATAGAGATAATACCTACCTGTCAAGGTTTTGAAGGAATCATAAATGAGATGATAAATACAAGTGGACTTCAAAAATTCGTGGAAAAATTCTACTATCGTTCAATTCCATTTTTTCCCCAAACTTTACAAGACCCCTCATATAAAGACACTAGTAAATTCAGCAGCTAAATATGCAGAGCTCTGTCTAGAATAGTTGTTCCTCTAATCTTCCTGTGTAAAACATATGTGTCTTTCAAGATCTGGTTCAAATTCCATTGTCTAACAAGAATCCATCCCAGATCTTCTCAGTTAAACTTAACCTTTCTATCTTCTGTGATTACACTGCACCAAAACTCTATTCAATTTCAACTCAGAACAATTATATATGAAACTACTGCATAGGGTTTTCTTGACTGTCCTCTTTACATAAAAAGACCACCAAGCCTATCTTACTGTGGGCTGCTGGGTGGGACTGAACTACCAACCTTTAGGTGTCATACAGCAAAATTCTTTAGCATTTATATTGAATACAAATGCATACCATTTCTGTCTACTGTCATTAGATGGAGTTCAGAAGTATTTCCTAGTAGCTATTATGGTCTTAAGGAGTTCTGGTAGCGTAGTGGTTACGAATTGGGCTGCGAACCTTAAGGTCAGCGGTTCGAAACTACCAGCCGCTCCGCGGGAGAAAGATGAGGCTTTCTACTCCCGTAAAGATTCACACCCTCGGAAACCCTGTTACAGGGTCGCTATGGGTCGGACCCGACTCGATGGCACTTAAAAACAACAAATTATGGTCTTAAAGGAGCTCTCGTAGAATAGTGGTTACAAATTGGGCTGCGAACCTCAAGGTCAGCAGTTCAAAACTACCAGCAGGAGAAAAATGAGGCTTTCTGCTCCCAAAAAGATTTACAGCCTCAGAAACCCTGTACAGGGTCACTATGACTCGGAACCGACTCTACAGCACATCACCACCACCACCATCATGTTCTTGTGTCATTTTCAGTTTGTTCTTCTCCTCCTGCCAAGAGCCCATGTGACCCTCATTATGGCACAGCATATTTGAGAATGCAACCATATTCACAGATACTCTGATTCCCATAGACAGAGTTAAAGACAGAATCTGCAGTATTGTGCCTTCATTCTCCTAGTCCATTAAAGACCCTGCTTTGTTCCTTACTCTGTTCATATGTGAGAGTTTGTGGCAAAGGGCTTAAGGCAATATGCAGACACCCCAACACAAAGCATCCAGCCATACAGGATGAGAAAGACATTAGTCAGTCAGAAACAGACCCTGGTGGAAACCCAAAACAGACATCCTTCCAGATAAGAGAGGCAATATGTGCTATGGATTCAGAATAATGTAGTGGTTGTAGCTCCAAGCCTGGTCTAAAATTCCAGGTCTGCTACATCAATCTCTTTATTGTACAGAGATAACACTTCTCATCCCACGGGGCTGTTATGAGGCTTAAATGAGATAATGTAATATACCTTCAAATATAGCATGTGCTCAACACCTAATAAATGATTGCTATTCATATATCATAAGAAGACTAATATCAGAATGCTTTATTACATTCTGTTATTCTGTTCCTTTTTGCCATAAAGATTGTTGCCATTATTGTTAGGTGCCATTGAGTCGGTACCAACTCATAGCAACCCTATGCACAATAGAACGAAACACTGCCTGGTCCTGTGTCAATCTCACAATCATTGCTACATTTGTTCCCATTGGTGCTGCTACTGTGCCCATCCATTTTGTTGGAGGTCTTCCTCTTTTCCTCCGAACCTCCAGTTTTACCAAACATGATGTCCTTCTTCAGGGACCTATCCCTCCTGATAATATAATCAAAATATGAGAGATGAAGTCTGGTCATCCTGGTTTCCAAGGAGCATTCTGGTTGTACTTCTTCCAACACAGATTTGTTTGCTCTTTTGGTAGCCTATGGTACTTTTAATATTCTCCTCCAACACCACAGCTCAAATGCATCAATTTTTCTATGGTCTTCTTTATTCTCTATTCAATTTTCATATTCATATGATGTTATTGAAAATACCATGGCTTGGGTCAGACACACATTAGTCCTCAAACTGACATCTTTTTTCTTCAACACTTTAAAGAGGTCTTGTGCAGCAGATTTGCTTAATACATCATTTGATTTCTTGACTGTTGCTTCCATGAATGTTGATAGTTGATCCGAGAAGAGTGAAATCTTTGACAACTTCAATCTTTTCTCCCTTTATATGGATGTTATTTATTGTTCCAGTGGTGAGGATTTTCGTTTTCTTTACATTGAGATGCAATCCATATCCAAGACTGTGGTCTTTGATCTTCATCAGTAAGTGTTTGAAGTCCTCTTCACTTTTAGCAAACAAGATTGTATCCTTTGCATATCGCAGGTTGCTAATAAGTCTTCCTCCAATCCTGATGCTATGTTTTTCTTCATATGATTCTGCTTCTCAGATTATTTGCTCAGAATACAGATTAAATAAGTATGGTGAAAGACTACAACCCTGTCACACAACTTTCCTAACTTTAAACCACTCAGTGTTCCCTTGTTCTGTTCAAACAACTGCCTCTTTGTCTATGTGCAGGTTCCTCATGAGCACAATTGAGTGTTCCATAGAGATAACAATATATAAATACAGAAATCAAGCCAAACACAGTTCCCCTAGTGAACAAATTCATTTTAGTTAAATATTCAAAATAATATAATTGTCTTCATCAAAAAGTAAATAACTCAAGAAACTAATCTGCCTGAGTTCCACAGGCAAGATACTGATGCCAAACACTAAGTAAGGAAGATTTACCTTGGAATCTGGTCTTAGGAAGGTTTTGTTGGGGATCAGTGTGTGTGATATACCAACAACATCCCCAGAGACACTTTGTCAGCAGGAATTGTGCTAATGTAGACATGGGGGTACTACACCTCCAACAACAGGAGTTGCTGGATGCAAATGATGAACATGCTCAACTGCTAACCAAAAGGTTGGAGTTCAAGTCCACCTAAAGAAACGCCTGGCAATCCATTTCTGGAAAATCAACCATTGAAAACTCTATGGAGCCTGATTCTACTCTGACACATGAGTCAGAGATGACTCAATGGCAACTGGTAGTGGTAGTCCTTTCAGCAATGATGCTACTTTGGTGTTTCTGAGACATTAAGGGCAATCAAGGATACTGGGGCTGACATTCTATCTTCTCCACTTTACAGGTCTCACCCTTGCCTTTATCATCTCCCTGATACTTTTCTTGTCTTCCCCTCACCTTTTCAGAATTTTTCCCTGGTTAGCTTATAGTCTATGCATGGCATCCTTAAGTTAAACTAAGCAAATCTATTTGTTTAAGAGTTTTTAGAGTATAAGTGTCTAATGAAAAATACACATGGGCTTTGGGATTAGACAACCTAATTTAAATTCCAATTCTGAATGTTAATCTGTGATCTTGGTACTTAACCTTTCTCAGCTTCCTTATTTTTAAGAATGATGAGATATCTAGTTATAAAATATGGGCAGAGATTAAATGAGATTTCACATATAAAGTCACTAAGCATGATTTCCTATCAGATTTTAGGTCTCCAGTAAATAACTGTAAGCTTGCTTTTTCTTCTGACAACTACTCTTTATAGACTCCATAATTTTTTCTCTAAATTGTTAAACAAACATAGCACTTTATAAAATAAAATCTATAATTTACACCCTAGCTCTTGTTCTTTTACTTTTTATTCCAAGATATATTATTTGCAAAGCATGGAAAGTAATGAATTTGTTTATTCCTTTTTTGAGGTTATAGTATCTTAAGTTAAAATGAGAAAATTTACATTGTTGCATAAAATAGCTCATGTGGAGTTTTTATACTCTGTTTTATAACTACTCAAGATGCCTCTAGCTCGAATTATTATTACACTTAGTGATTCAGTATTGTATTTTGCTTAAATTGAAGGTAAGCCCCAGATAAAGTGATATTGATTCATTAAAACAACCTCTATCTCATAATAATAAAGTGAAGGTGGAAATGTCCCATTCACATATACATCAAAATCAAATAAAACAATGTTTTTTAAAAGTCTGTATATTATACATATGCCCAGGGAAATGTTTTGATAAAAATCAGTGGATTCCTATGTCTAAGAACATAGGAAGGTAAAAAACAACAAACTGATAATGTTGTTGTTGTTGTTGTTATGTGCCCTGGAGTTGGTTCCAACTAATAGCAACCCTGTACAGGGTTTCTGATGCTGTAAATCTTTACGGGAGCAGAACGCCTCATCTTTCTCCTGTGGAACAGCTTGTAGTTTCGAACTGCTGACCTGTGGTTCACAGCCCGATTCGTAACTCCGTGGGGGGCGGGGGCGAGGGAGAGGAGAGAGAGAGAAAGAGAAGTGTGGTTATGAATCAGGCTGCTAATCTCAACTGACTGCATCAGCTGACTTGCTCACCCCCAATATGGTGGCTATGATAAAAACAAGAAAAAAAAAAACGACAGGAGTTAGCATAGATATCTAGAAATTGAACCACTCAGTGATTTCCAATGGGTCTGTAAAATGGCACAGACACTGTAGAAACAGATTGGAGGTTTCTCAAAAAGCTAAAAATAGAATTACCATAAGGTCCAGCAATTCTACTCCTAAGTATATACTCAAAAGAATTAAAAGCAGGATGCAAACAGAAAAATGTAGATTAATTTTCATACTACCTCTATTTACAATAGCCAAAAGGTGGAACCAACCCAAACGTCCATCAACAAATGAATAAACAAAATGTGGAATATACATATAATGGATTATTACACAACCAGAAAGACATTAATTACTGATACATGCTCCAACATGGATGAATCTTGAAAACATGCTGAGTGAAACAGGTCAATCACAAAAGAGCAAATATTGTATCATCTCATTTATATGAAATACCAAGATGAGGAAAATGCTCCAAGACCCTGACACCAGAACACGTTGGTGCCCAGTAACAAATGCTGACTACTCTGAAAGAGATTGTAATAGAAGGTCCTTGATAGAATAGTGGAAAAAAAGACCAGGTTTACTGACCTGATAGAGAATTGTTCAATCCCTGAGACTATGGTCCTTAGTCACCCTTTAAGCCTGGATTGAACTCACCACCATGACTCAACTTTCAGCCAAACAATACACAGGCCTACAAGGTGAACACTGACACCAGACAGGTGTACAGTCCTTAGAACAATCAACCATCTGAGGTCAAGAGATAAAGCTCAAAAGGTAGGCATGGATAGGAAAGAAGGACAAAGGAAACAGTAACCACGGGGAGGAGGTGGGGAGAGCACTGTTACATTGTGAGGCTCACAATCAACATAAAAACAAAATACATATGAATTGTTGAATGGAAAACCAATTTGCTCAATAAACTTTTACTCAAATTACAATGAAAAGTCACAAGTACAAATATAGGCTAATGTACAGAGAACAAAGTTAATTGGTGGTTACCAAGGGTTTAGAAGGAGGTGGACGAAAGAGTCACTGTTTATGAAGCATAGAACTTTACTATGGGTGACAGAAAAAAATCGGAAGCAGATAGTGGTGATAGCTACATAACGAGATGAATGTAATTAATATCACTGAATTCTACATGTAAAAAATGTTGAAACAAAATTTTTATATATATATATACAATTTTAAAACAATCATAATCTCTAAAGAAACAAAAAAAAGTGTGATGCAAAGGATGTAGTTGGTCTGTAGATTACATATATTTTGTAGCGCATAGTATTTAGCTAAGGAGGTCTGGTAGCGTAGTGGTTACGAATTGGGCTTCTAACCCCAAGGTCAGCAGTTCAAAACTAGCTGCTGTTTCATGGTAAAAAGATGAGGCTTTCTGCTCCTGTAAAGAGTTACAGCCTCGGAAACTTTGTACAGGGTCACTATGAGTTGGAACCGACTCCACGGAACACTATCACTACCACCAGTATTTAGTTAGTAGCTCACAAAGTTCCTATGTAGCTGTTGGTGTTAGTGCAGTGAATCTATGTAGAGTTTCCAAGAAGCAGTCAGTGGGTATGAACTGTTAACCTTGTGGTTCACAGTCCGGTACTGATCCTAGGGCGCCACACCAAGAGTCCACAAGGTTCCTATAGAAACTAAGATTTGCTAGATATAAGTCTTACTATATATGGCAATTTCAAAACCATGCAACCAGTAAAATGTCTCTAATCACTCCTTGGGAAATAATACGGTTTATGTAAATGTATCAAATTATGGTTTATTGGGCAAATTAATTTTGCCTCTTTCTTTTGTCATTTGTTTAACATAGGAAATACTTTGTGGTCAGTTCTAAAACTACCTTTTTTTGTTCTTGCTAATGACATATTTAAACATTTAAAAAAATAAAACTAAACTGTTAGGAAATTAGGGAACAAGATAATTTGGAAATAAAAGTCTTCAAAACTCTTAACTCATTATTGTGTTTTTCTCTATTTTCATAAACACAAAATCATAGTGCATGCTTCAGCAGCCTGGTACAAATAAAAAAAGCTTGGTCTTTACATTTGGCCACACGTAGGTTATAATCTATTTTAATGTGCGATCTCACTGAAACTTTTCTGAATTTTGCAGCTTTATTTTCACCTAAATAAGTAGATGTTGTTGTTGTTGTTGTTAAGTGCCGTCGAGTCGGTTCCGACCCATAGCGACCCTGTACAGGGTTTCCGAGGGTGTAAATCTTTACGGGAGTAGAAAGCCTTATCTTTCTCCCGCGGAGCGGCTGGTAGTTTCAAACCGCTGACTTTAAGGTTCGCAGCCCGATTCGTAACCACTACGCTACCAGAACCTATTTGGGAGGGTTGCATTAGGACAAGATAAAATAATGATGTGTTTAATAAAGCGGTGAATAAGATGAATTATCTAGTTAAAATGCTGATCCTGATTCTGTAGATCTGGATGGGAGTCAAGATTTCACATTTCCAACAAACTCCCAGATAAAACTCATCTTATGGGTCCACAAACTACTTGAGAGACAGTAGTGCTGTGAATGACTGATAATTGTTGATAACTGCCATGGAGTCAATTCTGACTCCTAGGGGCTATAAGGTTTCCAAAGCTGTAATTTTTAGGGGAAGTCCTGGTGTGGTGCAGTGGGATAAAGCATTGGACCACAAAGTTGGTTTGAACTACAAGGTTGGTAGTTCAAATTCACCAGCAGCTACTTGGAAACCCTATATGGGGTCACTATGAGTTGCAACCAACTTGAATGGCACTTAACAACAACAATCTTTATGAAGCACAGAGTGAATGATAGTTTCACACCACTGACTTTTCAGATGAACCATTCACTGTTCTACCAGGGTTCTTTATGGTGAAGTTAACTGATACAAAAAAAAAAAAAAAAAAATTTACTTAAAGATTATTTTATAAATTAGCTAATATCTACTTCAGAAAATTTACATATCAAATGTTGATAGACAGAATGATGGTCTCCCCAAAATGTTCATGTCATTACCCCCAGAAACCATGAATGTGTTATGCTGTATGGCAAGAGGGAATTATGGTTGCAGATGAAATTAAGGTTGTTAGCCCATGACTTTAAAATAAGGAGATTATCCTGGATTATCTGGGTGGGTCCAATGAAATCACAGGGGTTCTTTAAATGCAGAAGATCAAAGTCAGACTGAGTCTGAAGATGGAGAAATATAGATGGCTTCTGGAAATGGAATCTTGTGACAGTTTACCATTTCACTTGGTAACACAGCTTGGCATAGCAAGAACTTTTCTAATTAAAGGCCATTAGGGAATCTAGTTGAAAGAAACCAAAAAGATTATTAGTCCAAAGACTAAGCACTTATAAAATATTTGTCAATATTTTACAAGTAAAATATTAAATTTGAGATAAATTTAGTAAATTACTAAAATTGAGATAAAAAGGACACTGATGCAAATTTAGCTGGTTGGTGGGTAACACAGATTATGCATCATATTACCAGAGTTAATGTATGAACCTATTTGCTTTCCACTAATTTAAACTAAAGGAATTTAAAGTACAGGGAATTTAAAATATAAAGTAAGGGGAATTTTTAGTTTTATTTTCTAAAAGTGCTTCTTGTTGTTGTTGTAGTTGTTAAGTGCCATCAAGTTGGTTCTGATGCATACTGACCCTGTATAGGGTTTCCAAGGAGCAGCTGGTGGGTTTGAAACACCGACCTTAGGGTTCAAACTGACCTTTCATTCCAGCATGTTATTCTGCAGCACCACACCAGGGTTCCTGTTGGTAAGTGCCGTCCAGTCGGTTCCGACTCATAGTGACCCTGTATAGGGTTTCCAGGGAGCAGCTGGTGAGTTTGGACCATCAATCTTGTGGTTCAAACCAACCTTGCTGTCCAGTGCTTTATTCCACAGGGCCACACCAGAACATCCCCTTTCTTTTACCGTCTGTTTTTTCAACTCAAAAATGCAAGCAGTATTTAACAATACCCTTGTTTGCCATTTGTTGCACAGTAATACAGCAATAAATCATAGTGTGTACTAAGTATCTGAATAACAAAAACTTAACTGTCTTATCCTAATGATCACTAAGGCTTTTATGAGTGAGGTAAAAACTGTTTTTGAAATGTGCAGTAACTAACAATCACTTCTATATCCTTTCTGTTGTTGTTGTCAAGTGTTGTTAAGTCTGTTCTGACTCAACCTTGTACAGGGTTTCCAAGGAGTAGTTGGTGAGTTTGAACTGGCAACCTTGCCACTCGAACCAATCTTACAGTTGAATGCATTATCCTACAGCGCCACATCAGGACTCTTTATTAATGTAAAAAGTAGAGATGATTACCTGTGGCAACATGACGTCCCATTCCAAATATGGCATAAATGATGGCAGGAAACAGAGACCCATATAAACCGAATACAGGGTGCACAGATGAGAGAATAGCAAAGGCCAAACCTGTAAGAAGTTCAGGGTAATTAGAAATATTTGAGAAACCCAAGATGACACAATTCATAACACAGTAGAACGGATTATTAGTTTCTTTAAGGAAAAAATAAATAGCAAGTTAATTATTCTACTTGCTCTACAGGATACTTACCTTTTTTTTTTCATGAATAAAACAACAGCATCCTAGGTTTGTTTGCAGTACACTATGCTATATTTTTTACAGCAACACGTAAAAATGAATTGGCATAACAGTCAAAACACTTGGGGGGGAGAGGGGGGGAGGAGGGTATGGTTGGCAAACAAACATAGAAGTTATATGTTCGTTTTGGAAAACACAAAAGATATGGTAATAATATTATCCTAAATAGCAGAAAATTCACTCAGTAGCTCATGTTTAGTGGGACTATTTTCCCCTTGATTTCAGAGATATCCACAATGCAGTAGTGGTTCAGAAGGTCTTCTGTATAAAGGTAAATTCAATGGCATCATAGCAAAATATTTGTGCACAAACTAAAATATTTTAAAAGCATTTTCACATGTACTATTTTATTTGCACAACAGTGTCTGTGAGATGAAGAGTACCAATTATCACTGGCAGATAAGTAGGTTGACATGGAAAGGTGACTGAGGTTGGGACAAAAAGGACATCGATGCAAAGTTAGCTAATTGGTGGATCAAACTAAGATTATGCATCACACTAGCAGAGCCAATATATGAACCCACCTGCATTTCACTAATGCATTGGCACTGTGGGCTAATGCGTCAGACTGCAAAAGTCATTTGAACTGCAAGGCCAGTGGTTCAAGCTCACCAGGTGCTCCTTGGAAACCTCATACAGGGTCACTATGGGTCGGAATCGACTTAACAACAACAATGCATTCTAGCTTATATACTGAGCATATTGGGTACATTTTCTTATAATGAATTCTAAAACTGGACTTTTAAAATTCAAATCATAAGAAATAACATATAACTATTCTTTTTTATCCCCTGTAGTTTGATGTCTACATAGTTTGTATGTTATGTTCTCCTAGAAAAAATTTCCTAGGTCTGTCTAAATGATCACAGGTGATTTAATAGGACCAAAATATGCATGAGAAGTAGTTTATCAAAATTATCTTATTTGTGGTTAGTCCTTAGCATTAATAGGTTAGTTAAGATAGGTTTAGACACAAATATTCAAGACTAGGAACTTAATCTTAAGTATTTTATTGGCACATGAAACTTGTAAACTTACAGAAGCTTGAGTAAGAAAATAGTATTAGAATCTGAATTCCTTGAATTTTAGACCAATTTACTATCCAACTATGAAAAATTACACTAAATTTTACTGTATACCTATTGTCATGTTTAAACTAAGTTTAATTTCTTTTCAATGCTAAGCTCTATAGCTATATATCAAACATTCTTTAAGAAATGTAAGATATTTTTATCTATAGTCAAAATATATGAGAGATCTGTCAATGATCATCCTCATCTTATTATTTTTAACTATCTATGTACCTGCTTACTAATACTCTATTTCTAAATACTGGTGATAATAAACACAAAAAATAGAGGTTTTCTGCTCCCATAAAAATGTACAGCCTTGGAAACCCTACACAGGGTCACTATGAGTTAGAAGTGACTCCTTGGTACACTGCCACCACCACCTCTATAGAAGAGTCAGGAGTTGCTCTAGAATATCACATAAGCAGGGCTGCAGGCAGCAATGTGGTTAGTAGCAAGGATGGCATTCAGAAATGAGACTTGAAGCCTGGTTTCTTTAGGAAGCCAGGTCTCATTAGGTCTCATTCATAGGAAGGCTAAAGATTCTACCATCTCCACTAATAAGAATTCCTGGGTCTTTAATGTGTGAGCAACTTTCTTTAAAAGAAAAAACAAAACAAAACAAAAAAACTATTGCGTGCATTAGAGCAGTCATGTGGAAAACTGGAAAATTACTTTTTTTCACTGATATTCAGAATAAATTTGCCTAATAAAAATATCTATTAAGAGACAGAAATGCAGTGTTTTAGAGTAAGAGAAAATATGGTTCCGTTATCAGAAATCCCTCAGATCTGCTAATCAATGGTAAGGAGAGGCATAAGACATAATGACGAAAGCACTGTGAAGGATTTGTCTGCACACTAAATTCAGAAAAGAGCAGTCAATATCCATACACGGGAACTGGCTTAAGGTAGACTCACTGACTGCATTACCACTCTACCTGCACCAGGAAAATGTCTTACAAGCTCAAGGTTCTACCCCTCATTCTTGCCTTCTGAATGGCTCCTTCATTATAATAATATTTATCAATTTCCCTCTTTTTATCTCAAATAAAATCCACGATAAAACTAGCTCAAAAACAGAATCTCTCTAGACCTCATATTCTTATCAAATTGGGAATAATCATGTAAAACATGTATTTCCAAAAAAATTTAAAAGACCTCCAAGGAGATTGCAATCATTGTAATGAAAGGTTGGTATAAAACTGATGTTCTCCCATGTCAACTATCACTCAATTCACAATAAAACCTTTTAAAAAAAACAGACCTCTAAGACCTTTCTTTCATTTAAATATGAAATGCAGTAGATTCTCTAAGAAAAACCTTAGGTACCATGGAGACACTTCCTTTATCTCCTATTACATGAAGTTTCAGCTTTCACTTTTAGCAACAGTGTCATTCACCCTTGTGGGAATCTAGTTCTCTACTAAAAGGAAACAAACAATGGCCCAAAATAAAGAATGTACTAAGTCAGATATAAAACTTCAAAAATTTATCCACAAATTATAACTACAAAATCCCTTTTTCCCTCTGCCCCCTACACACCTTAAAAGAGAAGAGGCAATACAGTTATCTTTTCCTGAATGACTTAGCATCTCAGTTCATACTATATGTACAAACATATTTTCATACTCACAAAAGTTAAAATATATTAAATATTCCCAAAACAGAAACATAAATTAGTATAATTATTTATAATCTTTGCAGTAGTTAATAAAACTTTGTATTCATTTCAAAAAAGAGCAGTTAAAACTTTCTAACTGGCCCATGACCAGGCAGTGTTTCATTCTGTTGTACATAGGGTCGCTATGAGTCAGTACCAACTTGATGGCACCTAACAAAAACAACAAAAACTCAACTATTTAGAGAAAAACAAATTGTTGAAAATGTTAATAGATATCTCTATTACCTAATTTATAGAGATATCTATTAACATTTCCAACAATAGATATCTCTATTGCCTAATCTGGAGTCCTGATGTGACACTGTGGGATAAACACTAGAACACCAAGTCAGTTTGAACCACAAGGTTGGCAGTTCAAACCCACCAGATGCTCCTCAGAAACCCTATACAGGGTTACAAGTCAGAACTAATTTGACAGCACTTAAGAATTTAACAAAAACATTACCTAATCTAATATAATCTGTTGTTGTTGGGTGCCATCAAATCGATTCCAACCCATAGCGACCCTGTATAGGGAGCAGCTGGTGAGCTTAAACCACTGACCTTGCAGTTCAAACTGACTTTGCAGTCTGATGCATTAGCCCACAGTGCCACACCAGGATTCTTTAATATAATCTAGTATACAGCAAAATAAATGTATTACCTAATCTTAGATTGGAGTCGGTGCCACAGTGGGCTAAGCACTGGACTGCTAATCATATAATCAAAGTTCAAAGCACCAGCCATTTCAAGGGAGCAAGATGAGGCTAAACTCTATAGCTATATATCAAACATTCTTTGAGAAGTGTAAAACAGTGTCTCTATAGTTGAAATACAGGAGAGATCTGTCAATGATCATTCTCATCTTAACTGTTTTTTTAAACTATCTGTGTACCTGCTTACTAATATTCTATTTCTAAATATTGGTGAAAATAAATTAAAAGTGGAGGCCTTCTGCTCCCATGAAGACATAAAGCCACAGAAACCCTATACAGGGTCATTATTTATTATTTCTTTTTCTTTTCTTCTGGTGATTGAGAGCTTACTTTGCAGAGACAAAGGAGAGCGCAACTACAATGATACAGCCCAACCGTAGCCATACCCTCTTTTTTTTCCCCATGTTTTATTGTGAATTATATGATATTTTACATGGGAGAACTTTAGTTTTACATTCATTCTACCGTACATTGTTTCATTGCCATAGTTCCAATCCCCTCCATGTATCATCAACCGACCAAAGGGTACACCCTATAAACCCACCCCCTACACCACCCACCCACCCATTCTTCAGCACACATTCCCTCTCCCTCTCTGGATCCAAAGTCCCTAGCCACTTCATCACTCCACATCATCGTCTCTGCCTCCATCTCGGGCCTCACTGCTTCTCTGGGTAGGGTCCCACTCTCGGCTCTTCTCCGTTGATGGTCCTAGAGACCTCTGCTCCTACAGTGGAGAGTTAATCACTCCCTTCCTTGCTACAAAACGTATACCTTTACATTTCCAACCCTCACAATCAGTCCTGATAACAATCATTCACTATTGTATCCCAAGTGACCCTTCTGCATTTCATTTCATCAGCTCCGCCTAGACAGATTGGATAGTATTCACTGGAGATTCTGCCTTCCTCCATGCCCCTGAGCTCTAGGTTCCCTCTTAAAAGCTTGTAAGCCAGTCACTTATTGCCTTTGTAGTCCCCCCCACCACCACTATTGGGGTATCCAATGTCCAAGTTGCCCATCTCTGTCTACTCTGGCTGTAAGTATTTGTTCCCTCTTTTGGGTTACTGCATTCATAAGTGTAGGTCAAGTGGTTAAGTTCATCAAATTGTATCAGGTCACTCTTTTTTTTTTTTTTCCCCTCTTCTTTCTTCTCCTGGTTGAATTCTGATCATCCATTCATTGGGGCCAGGTCACGTGGGTACCATCTGCAGGCGTGGGTGTTCTTGTGCGTATGCCCTCTCTTCCTATCAGCTGGTAGTTTCACTCTCCATGCTAGTCCTCTGTGGCCATGCCGCTGACTCTGGGCCCAGGAGTCCCCAGGTCTCCTCACACTGCTGACCAACCAGATCCCCATCTGGG